GAAGTGCCCCGAGGTCCCCGCTGGCCCTGAGCCACACCTGCAAGGTGATTTTATTTTTCACTAGCAGTCCGATTTTGATATCCATGAGATTGAGGTCATTCTCCAGCTGTTGGTTGGAACGAATGAGGGTGATGACCTCTTCCCGCATTTTCATAAGATCAATCTCCTCCTGAAAATCCTGGTCACTCTGGTCCAGCAGGTGGACAAATTTTCGGACCACAATCATAGGAGGATCCTCAGCATTGACTGGCAGAAAGAAACCGTGCATCAGACACAGAACAGAATTACCAGAAAAAGTTCTACGTCTCGGGAAACATCAGCATCATCTTGGAAAAGTTGTTCGAATCACACGTTTATTTTGAGACGTGCTAACACAACCACCGAGTGCAGTCTTCTCAGTCATGCCACTGCCATGTTATGACAAAGGCTAAGACAGTAAGCAACAAGACACCTATCTAGCCATGTGTCAGCAAAGGGGCTCGAGTCACAAGCAGCGCCCACTCCCCAAGCCTTGCCTTCAGGACAACAAGAGATCCGTGGCGAACACCCAGAACCCGCTGGCTCTCACCACGGCCTCACTCTTCATGCTTACTCACTGAGAGTCTTGTAGTCATCACGAGCTTTGTTTGCCCGAATAAAAGCCTGGATTTTGATAATGTCATTTATCTAAGGAACAAAAAAGAAGATGAAATTCCTTTGTTCATCTGCCCACCAAAAATATGGCAAAACCGATTCTACTGGCCTTATCATCCAAGGGTACTTACGTGGTCTCGGAAATACTGCAGGCGATCTCTATAGCGCTTTCTAGCTTGATGCATCCTTGCCAGGGACTGGATCTGTGGAAGACAGGTCCCGGAGATTACAAGAGGCCTCCACCTTGACACGTCGCTTGTGCACCCCACATGGAGCAGCCCCGCTCAGCTACCATACCTTGACAACTTCATCTTTATGCGAGCGCAGGTAAGCCAAACGGTCTTGATATGCCTTCTTCTGCTTGTATCCTCGCCACTGGGACTGAAACCATCAAATATCACATGACATGTTATTCCCCAAGACCAGTGGAAGCTAAAAAAAAAATCTCATCTTGATACATCATGCAAGTGCAATTTCATGATGAAGCTTTAGAAAGAACCACTGAGCAGTGACGGGGAACGAGGGCCTGGGCTGCACCTCCACCAGGAGAACGCAGTGGCTAAATGCCACTTCCCTGACATTAGCACAGCCCTTCACACCATTTTAAGTGCAGCCACACAGATTCACATACTGGCTTCTTACAACAAATCAGGGGAGGAAAATGAGATAAAACGGGGATATTAGCATCTCCATTTACAGATGAGGAAACAAATTAGAGAGATGCACCACTATCTAGCAGCAGTGGAGCCGTAATTCCCGACTCAGAATTCTTTCTGTGACAGTGTGTTATTCTGTCACCAAAGCAAAACCACAGTTGTTTCGCTCGAGGCTCAAATCTCACATAAGACAAGAAGAGGTGCCCAGGAACTGCCACCAAGCCGCCATCACCACTAAGCACACCAGGTTACACTGGTGGTAAAGAGGAGGTACCAGCCAACAAGACTGAGAGGCCAGAAGTCAAAAACACACTCAGCCCTTCCATAAGAGCGGGCAGTTGATCCCCGCTGTCCAGGATCCCGCTTGCTGTCTGTCTGATAGGCTCTGAGATACCTGGATGCAGGTGATGGCGGGGATTTGTTTCTTCAGGAAGTTCATCCTGGATCGGAATTCCTGTCGAACCAAGTACCCACGGCAGCAAGCCTGCAGCTTGGTGATCAGGCCTTCGTTGGCCAGCCACAGCTGCTCTCGGTTATACGCAGCAGTCACCCCAGAGATGGAACTCTGAAACAGCATTGGGTCACATTTGAAGACATTCATAGGTGAGAATGGACAAAAATTTTAACAAGTATCATCCACAGCATACAAACTAACCCCTAGCGCTTCCTTAGTCCATACTAGACCTTTAGTTAAGCAATGGGAATAAAGAGCTCAGCTCTGTTTTTCAGGGCCAGGCTATTCTCACATTAAAAAAAAAAAAAGCAACTCATAAACAAAAACTTGATCATCTTTTATCTCATGTTGTCTCATTTAGCCACCCACCCATCCAACACTGAGTATGCTGGGCACCGTGCTGGCTGGTCTGGGGTCACCGCTGACAAAAATACGGAGTGACAGGTACCCCACAGGGCTATGTGCCAAGTGCTGGGACCCTAGAATGCCACAGCGTAGGACACCTCAGGGGGACTGGCCAGAGATGGGGACCAAAAGCCTCATCTCTAGGCAGATTGCAAATGGTCTTGAAAAGCAGCCCAGAGGGTTGGGACTGTTACTACAGGTCCTGGAGAACCAGCACACTTTCAAACAGAGGAACAGAACATCCAGATTTATTTTCAAAAACAGTACTATTAGGAGAGTAGCTGACAGGTTAGAGAGAAGAGAGACTTGCATCAGGTGGGTGAATTAGGATTCTGCTGTCATGATCCAAGAGAGAAATGACCTGGCCTTGAACAGCCAGTAAGCACATCTGGCCACCCACCCAACGGCCACCTTCTCCCTTCCCCTTGGTATCAGAGATTTGATTTTCTTCCTGGGCAATGATGCATGCACTTTAAAGATTACACGAGCTAGGAATAGTTCGCATGCTGTGAGCATAAGTAGTTCAGCAAGATCTTTGGGAAAGCTCCTTAGGAGACAGATAGGCAGCTGGCCACGGGCCTTTTTTGTTTTTCTTTCCCTTCCTCCTACTTCCTGTCTGGACTGCCAACTTGATGGGTAGAGCTCCAAGCCATCATTGTGGATGACAAGGTGACCTTGAGAATGGAAGCCACATGCTAAGAATGACAGAGCACAAAGACAGAAGGATCCTTGAGCAGATGACATCACAGAGCCACCATACCTTCTTCCCTCACCTGCCGAACTCCAGAATTATTTTATGTGAGGAAAAAAATATGCCCTTATATGCTATCACGGACACTGTTTTTTTCTGTCAAACTGTGTTTGAGGTACCTGCTGGACTTCTAGACTGCAAATGCAAGGGCAAACCCAGTGGTGAGGAAAAGGGCTAAAGTCTAGAGATACAGATGTGGGAGTCACAGTGCAAAGGTAAGAGCTGGAGCCACTGGCTCAAATGAGACCACCCACAAAGAATGTGCAGGGGAGAAGAGGGCCAACAGAATCCGATATAACTCAAGCAGAGGCTGAGCAAAGGAAGGTAGCAAGATAGATTAAGAAAGGACATTCAGAAGCAGGAGAACCAGGAGAGAACTGCACTGGAGTAGCTTTCTTAAAGGAGTTGAGGGTTTGAGGAAGGGACTTTATTTTTA